TACGAATTAATAAATCTAGTCAGGTATCTCCTGCACAAGGACACTTGTTAGTAGAAAGAATAAAATGTAAGTTCCAGAAGAGTTAGATGAGAACGAGGCACTATGGTAAAAAGAACAAAGCCTTACACAAAAATACACATTGAATCCCACCCCACAGAAGACCAAAATGTTGTCCAAAGAAACGCCGCAAGGTCATATGTTCAGTTCAACCGCCTAGAACCAATGTGAGCACGGAAAGGTACGTTTGAACGTCCCTAAACAAAGTAGACAGGTTTACGACCAGCTCCAAATCTAGACGCTTTGCCTTGAGGAGTGTCTTGCCAATTCATTAGATACTAAAGTCTATACCAGTCATTATTAAATGTTTTAAATATGTTTAAACAGCGCTGGACGACATACACACCGAAACAACCGGTGCGGAGTGATCAGAACAACGACCGAAATAAATGTGCAGAAATAATTAAGCCATTTCAGCTGGATTTATTCAAGAAGCCATGCGCCAGTATGTAAGATGCTTGTAAACTTAAAAGAGGGCAACTGACATAATTGTTCCAATTACGATGTGATCTTTTAAGTGAATTAATCTTGCAACTGAATGCATGAGTTTGAAAAATACATAAAAATAATGCTAACCAAATCACAGGAGTCTGTTTTACAAGCTAACAAATGCTTGGAGATCAATGAATGGATTGACGGCAAACCAGCCAGGAAGTACCAAAGAAGTTGTGGTAACCTACCTACTCAGACAAAATAGCTTTGAAACGGGTGCAACGGTTTGAGGGATCTGTTCAACATGGTTATTTGTAACAAAGTTGGACAGATAATGATGGTCCTGATTGTCAGTAACCGGGTATCATCTATGGCTGTAAAATCCTCCGGTTGCTCAGGTAGCTGTCAATTTTTCTGCCCACTGAAGCGTAACAAAAACGATAGAGTCGCTTTCGACTTCACAGCCATAAGACCACAATGTCCGTCAGGAAGATTTCGTTCAACATCTAATGAACTCCATAAAGATGTTGTTGTTGCATTTGACAACCGTTTTATCAAATCGATGGTCATCATTACAAAAACGGGTTTGCACCCTTTTTGAGACATTACGTTGCACGCCATTTTCAAATATTCTATGGCATTGTGGTCTATGAAAGTCAACCGCATTGGTAGAGAACACTAAACATAAAACTGTTTTCTCTCATTCACGTCGATGCTTTGTGTCAAAATAGCCAATCAATTACGAAAACAGTCATATACATCCCATAAACGCTATGAAAAGACCGAAATGTTCTCCTAGGTCCTACATTAACTGAGGATAATTCGCAGTTAAATTGGTGAACGAGTTCCGAATTAATATAGCCCTGAATTTAAGCAGATTAATCTTCAGGTGCAACAATTGTTCTCTTGTAGCTTATGTATCTAGTTTTATTTGTAGCTTGCCAGCTGCTCCTGTACCTACTGTAATGGTAACTGCTAAAAATTAATTTCCCTAACCTTATACGAGAGTTTCTGACTTGAAAAATATGCTTGACGGGAGTATGGTGCCATTGTGTCATCCAGAAAAAACTTCGAAAGGCCTCTATATAATGTGTATTATATATACGCAATACGCCACTCATAAATTTGTTGAAAACTACTCTACAGCCAACAACCGATTTCGCCCTTCTTGGAGCTGATCAGGTGGGCGCAGTCTCTGAGTTTGCGTCAAAGTTATGTTCTACTTGACACCAAATTGCACGAAATTAGCGAAGTAAAATTATTTGCACACTGTTTGTATCTCATATCCTCTTCTCATCAGGTGACGTTTTACACAACTTGTCAATTAAGCAACAGCTGTTCCGGTGATCCCGACATTTTGCTCCATGTACGCGTCTATCTCGAAATAGTTCTTAAAAACGACAGCGTTACGTAGATTGTAGTACTAAATGTTAAGATTTCAAATTCAGGCAACGGTGCCTCAAAACGCTTTTTTCGAATATCCACTAGCACTGTTGTTTGGCTGCTAAAACTTTCACGCGGTTTGGGTACGCAATCAATTTGAGGTGTTACCAATTCATGTTTGTGTGTAACCGGTGCAGAAGTGGTGTAATGGTGATGTAGTGTTTGGTCCGTTTGGTTTTGCGACATGCATACGGATCTGTTCCAGCATCGAATAAGTGGGACACAAAAGAAAGATACAAAGCCCCTGTCCACTCCCCAAGGTGAACAGAACTCAGACGGATAGCAATATTCTCATGGAGCCCTTTGCTGATGCTGAGCAGAATATATCCTACATGTCACTATATGGACACTTCTATTCAATTGCCTTATAAACATTCTATCATTTGAACCTTTCTATTATCCATAGCCAGGCCATCTATTTTTTCGGAAATCCCAAAAATGGAACGGATTTTAAATGTACCTTGAAGAATAATGTTTTCAAGATGGTCATTTAAAGCAATAAAAGTACATTGTTGCCAAATACGAATTAATAAATCTAGTCAGGTATCTCCTGCACAAGGACACTTGTTAGTAGAAAGAATAAAATGTAAGTTCCAGAAGAGTTAGATGAGAACGAGGCACTATGGTAAAAAGAACAAAGCCTTACACAAAAATACACATTGAATCCCACCCCACAGAAGACCAAAATGTTGTCCAAAGAAACGCCGCAAGGTCATATGTTCAGTTCAACCGCCTAGAACCAATGTGAGCACGGAAAGGTACGTTTGAACGTCCCTAAACAAAGTAGACAGGTTTACGACCAGCTCCAAATCTAGACGCTTTGCCTTGAGGAGTGTCTTGCCAATTCATTAGATACTAAAGTCTATACCAGTCATTATTAAATGTTTTAAATATGTTTAAACAGCGCTGGACGACATACACACCGAAACAACCGGTGCGGAGTGATCAGAACAACGACCGAAATAAATGTGCAGAAATAATTAAGCCATTTCAGCTGGATTTATTCAAGAAGCCATGCGCCAGTATGTAAGATGCTTGTAAACTTAAAAGAGGGCAACTGACATAATTGTTCCAATTACGATGTGATCTTTTAAGTGAATTAATCTTGCAACTGAATGCATGAGTTTGAAAAATACATAAAAATAATGCTAACCAAATCACAGGAGTCTGTTTTACAAGCTAACAAATGCTTGGAGATCAATGAATGGATTGACGGTAAACCAGCGAGGAAGTACCAAAGAAGTTGTGGTAACCTACCTACTCAGACAAAATAGCTTTGAAACGGGTGCAACGGTTTGAGGGATCTGTTCAACATGGTTATTTGTAACAAAGTTGGACAGATAATGATGGTCCTGATTGTCAGTAACCGGGTATCATCTATGGCTGTAAAATCCTCCGGTTGCTCAGGTAGCTGTCAATTTTTCTGCCCACTGAAGCGTAACAAAAACGATAGAGTCGCTTTCGACTTCACAGCCATAAGACCACAATGTCCTTCAGGAAGATTTCGTTCAACATCTAATGAACTCCATAAAGATGTTGTTGTTGCATTTGACAACCGTTTTATCAAATCGATGGTCATCATTACAAAAACGGGTTTGCACCCTTTTTGAGACATTACGTTGCACGCCATTTTCAAATATTCTATGGCATTGTGGTCTATGAAAGTCAACCGCATTGGTAGAGAACACTAAACATAAAACTGTTTTCTCTCATTCACGTCGATGCTTTGTGTCAAAATAGCCAATCAATTACGAAAACAGTCATATACATCCCATAAACGCTATGAAAAGACCGAAATGTTCTCCTAGGTCCTACATTAACTGAGGATAATTCGCAGTTAAATTGGTGAACGAGTTCCGAATTAATATAGCCCTGAATTTAAGCAGATTAATCTTCAGGTGCAACAATTGTTCTCTTGTAGCTTATGTATCTAGTTTTATTTGTAGCTTGCCAGCTGCTCCTGTACCTACTGTAATGGTAACTGCTAAAAATTAATTTCCCTAACCTTATACGAGAGTTTCTGACTTGAAAAATATGCTTGACGGGAGTATGGTGCCATTGTGTCATCCAGAAAAAACTTCGAAAGGCCTCTATATGTATTATATTATATATACGCAATACGCCACTCATAAATTTGTTGAAAACTACTCTACAGCCAACAACCGATTTCGCCCTTCTTGGATCAGGTGGGCGCAGTCTCTGAGTTTGCGTCAAAGTTATGTTCTACTTGACACCAAATTGCACGAAATTAGCGAAGTAAAATTATTTGCACACTAATTTGAGTTCAAGTAGAACATCAGGCTGACGAAAACTCGTCGACCTCGCCTACATGTTGAGCCTCAGGAAGGGTAAAACGGGTCGTGGGCTGTCAGATAGTTTTCAGGAACGCTATGAGTTGTGTATTACGTCACTACAATGCATCGCGATGCCTCAAATATGGTGCCAACTGAAACCTGAGGTAGCTTGGTGTAGCATATTTGATTGCTTACGAATATCATGGGCGAATTTAGCTGGGTTAAAGTGAATCTCTCTCCAGAACCAAAATTGGTGTGCATATGGTAGTACTTCACTGATAAATATTATATAATCCAGAATATTCCAGAAATTAATGATAAAAATAAAGACGTCATCAATTTCTTCTGTTCTATAAGCGGGTGATTTGTTATTTTACATAGCATGGATGCCACAGTGACTTCGATACTTGTTTTCATTTTTTATCTTACTGTAAGTCACAGTTACCACCAAATAACCTGAGAATAATGCTCAATATAACGTCCGTTAGGTCTAGGGTTATTTACCTGAATGGACTCCGTATTAAGATGCTTCAGATTGATTTTAATGCATAATACCTCGTCTGTGTTTTGCATTCAGCATGGCAGTTCGAGTGAGTCATAAAATGGATTAATAGGACGGCAAATCGTATTTGACATGTGTGCGGATTCACACACCGGACGCGTTAAGCTAACCAATCAGCGCATCGCTCCGCCAGCGACCTTGTAGACACTAGCATTATATTTGAAAGCACGGCATCTGCCCGTTCGCGCTTAAATTATGCTCGTATGGGTATGCGGCAATAGACAAGACATGTGATCTCACCGCATCCAAAACATGTGGTCCCGACAGGAAAACTGGTGCGGAATACACCACTGGCAACAGAGAGTTGGTACAACTAAAGACATATCATTCTCCATTCCCTTTATTCTATCCAAACCTCTCATCAATATAACAAAGCCGGTAATACATATTTCCGGAGGTCATCAACCCTACCCGAGTGTGACTCCAAACTTCAAACTCACAGTCAGTGCCAACAGTTCTGCGAATGTGGACCCCAATCTTTCACCCGCTTCCCGTTTCCCCGTTGGTATAGTCCTCACGCTGCTACTCGCATTGTTGGCGTTGGTAGCTAATTTTGGACTGCTTTATTTAACCCGCCTTACGAAACCGGCATCACAAGGTAAAAATTCCAGTTTCTCAATGAGTGGACCAGCAACAACTTATTATTTGTCAGGAAGAATGAGCACTAATTCGGTTCAGTTGAAGAAGCGTGTCAATCTCAGGCGGATCTTTTCTTGTATTGCTCCAAGAAAATTGCAAGCAACGGCCACTTTGGACATGCAGCTTGATGAATCAGCACCAGTTGGTCTTCCAATCAGAAAATGTGCTTCTTCTGTCAGCATAACCAGGGTTGGCATGCCGATTACACCGACCAATCCATTGACTCCTAGAAGTCGAAGACATCAGCGCTATGTTCGTGGAATTTTCGGCTTGTCCATTAGCAATATTACAGTCTCATTTAGTTTGCTCTTATGGTGTATTTGTACCATTTTGGATCGTATATACTTTATCCCATGGATCGCCCTCCTTTTGGTTGCCAACAGCGCTATTGCAGATATTGCCCAATCTCTAGAGATCAGTGCTGTACTCTGGATTGCTTTGGAACGAACTCTGGGAATCCACTGGCCCCGTGAACGGCGATCATCCAACTGCACGCCAGATCAGACCCCACGACCAAGCTGGACAACCAAATTCAAATTGTTAATTTGTGGACCTGTACAAGTGCGGCATGGGTTTTGTAATCATACCTCTACTAGCCATTCGGATGGCAAGCGTGACAATGCAGACATTGTTTGTTACCCCACACGCAATTCGCCCGTCTTTCAATTCACAAACAGAAAAATCTGGTTTATGACGCTTCTAAAGAAAGTCAAATCTTTTATTCGGCTAGTACTCAGCTTGATTCCTTTCACACTATTCGTACTGGCTTCCGTGCCCAGTTTGATCAGCTTCGTTCAGCAGATTCAGATGGTTGACAATCAACTACAGGACTCTCGTGTGCACTACTTCTCACCTGACATTATGGCATCTGAAGCTAGTCTATTCCATCTACATGGCGGTACCAACCGCAGTAGGCAGAAGGCGAAGTTCATAACTGTGATCTACTACACAAATACCATTGTCTCGTCATTGGTGATAGGACAATTTCTTGCTCCGCTGGCCATTCTGATCACGACCAATTTGCTAATTTACAAAAAGGTGAGTTTGTTTTCCCCTGGGTTGCTCCATTTTTAGCAAATCCTTGGCTAGATCGAACGCAGTGGTCCTGCGCACTGATTCAGTATGATTATCCAGTTGGTAATGCAAAACAAACAAAAATGACTGCTAGACTGAACTAGATACTGTATCTCAACAGAGAGGCTATGAATATTTTAAGATTCGTACATGCACTTTTATGCCTATTGGCAAGTGATTCTTTCACGACCGGTTCGAACACAGCTTGGAAATTTCCCATCTTCGCAAAGTCTTTGTAGTGCAAAAAGAACAAAATGAGCAAAAAAGAACAAAAAGAACAAAAAGAACATTTTGCGTTCACTCGGCGGATAGTTCTCCTCATATATTCCGACCTGAATAATTGCCCAACCAGCTGCTTTTTGCACTGCCAATGGTCTTTGCTGCAGTCCAAAGACTATCGACCCTTTGTTTCCAATATACGTGTTCGTGCGAGCAGCACTCCATTGGCAAGTTCACGCAAATACCATTGTCTCGTCATTGGTGATAGGACAATTTCTTGCTCCGCTGGCCATTCTGATCACGACCAATTTGCTAATTTACAAAAAGGTGAGTTTGTTTTCCCCTGGGTTGCTCCATTTTTAGCAAATCCTTGGCTAGATCGAACGCAGTGGTCCTGCGCACTGATTCAGTATGATTATCCAGTTGGTAATGCAAAACAAACAAAAATGACTGCTAGACTGAACTAGATACTGTATCTCAACAGAGAGGCTATGAATATTTTAAGATTCGTACATGCACTTTTATGCCTATTGGCAAGTGATTCTTTCACGACCGGTTCGAACACAGCTTGGAAATTTCCCATCTTCGCAAAGTCTTTGTAGTGCAAAAAGAACAAAATGAGCAAAAAAGAACAAAAAGAACAAAAAGAACATTTTGCGTTCACTCGGCGGATAGTTCTCCTCATATATTCCGACCTGAATAATTGCCCAACCAGCTGCTTTTTGCACTGCCAATGGTCTTTGCTGCAGTCCAAAGACTATCGACCCTTTGTTTCCAATATACGTGTTCGTGCGAGCAGCACTCCATTGGCCAAGTTCACGCATAATTTAGTATGCGGTTAGGATGCTGAAAAATGTTTGGTGCGCATTCAACCAAAGCTGGCATGACCTATTTTTCCATTGACCAAGACCATTTCTTTTACCGCTGTCGATCGTGTGCGAAGTTGTCCTGAGATAATGTTGGGGCACGTGATTCTACCCAAAATATGCTATTGCTATCGGGACAAAGTCTGTGGAATGCAGGTGTAAATCAATCTTGGGCTGACCGCTTTTCATGTTAATCTTCCGTGCAAAAAATTTGGGTCATATATTTGCAAATGAACAGACTTGCGCAAAAGGAAAAAGCCAAGAAATTCGTACTGACAGAGGAAACCATCCATCTTCACATCACTGTTAGGGTAAGTAAACGTCATCGGTGGTGAGGCTAGCCTCTACCCTATTTGTTAGTATATCATATTTTACTTAAGACTGGTTGGGAAATAAGGTTGACAATTTTTTATTAAAAACATTTTCCAGTGAAGGTAGTATGAGCCAAGACATGATTTCTTTGGTGCCGATGGTTCGGTAGTAGTAGTACCATTTACGATTCTTCAAAACAGCACCAAACATACAAATTCCATCAGTAAGTCTCGCAAAAAAAGAGTGGATTATACAGCTAAAATCAGTGGTATGGTGGACCTGTTTTGAAATAAATGTCTGTTGTCGAATCGCTTCCAGCGAAAAACAGAATATTCACCTGTATCGTATGCATAAACCTCCAGTCAAGCAGGATGTAAAAAACATTGATTTTGGATCCGAAAGCAGAATTTGTTTTCTGTGTAGCACAAGGATCCATGAATGTTGGAAGAATTTCAGCAAGAGATGTGTCCCGAAGTGTATTTCAGCTTCTCTGAGAACATGATCACATGGTTTCTTTAACCACATTTTACCGACGATTATCCTCGCCTTAAACACCAGCTCATTGAAGATGGAATTGCTAATTGATATCTTTCAGCAATCTCCCTTGAGAAGTTCGTGTATACCTTTGATGACCAAGGTACAACAAAAGGAAATACGCATATAAGAAACCATCTTGACTCATTGAATGTTCTGTCATTTGGAATACCTATCAGGGCTAAACAAGAACCCCTTTGGTGGAGTTCTTTTTCTCAAGGGTTAAACTCCCGAAAATTTTTTCGATATGGTGACTAACAAAATTTTGGGTAGCAAAAACTGTCGAATTCTGCTAGAAAAGTGAACGAATTCGGGGATGTTGCGGAAAAATTCCAGACTAGCTCAAAATATCCATCGAAACCTTACGGCTAGTTTCGTATCTTATGACACTTTAATTTAGGCATCTTCGTCCGAATAGCCATCTTCCTGCTTCAACTCATTAATGATTATTCATCATAAAAATCACCAGTAGAGCATTACGCTTGGGCACCTTGCACGCAGCACTTTATTTATTTTCGAAAGATACTCAGTTGCATTAGGAGTGAACTTCAATCCGGAAGGTACTGGTTTTTTTAAAATCACCTTGACTGGTGAATTTCTTGGCTGGAGGAACATATTATCTGCCTTTCGGTTGACCATTAAGACCAGTTTACAATCTCGGATAGAAATAGAACGAGATGGAAGGGAGGAGTACAGCGATACCAGAAATTTACTACCTCTAACCACAGTGATGTAACAAATAGTATGCAAAAACTGCGGCCGATTGATTGAAATCATTTTCCTTCCATATGGTAGAAAGTGTGCAAATCTGTCAAAGGAGTCCGTAAACTGCTGTGGCTTTGGCGACCTCTTGGTGAATATCATCTATCGAACTGAAGGTATGACAATGTACTCTCAGATGGTAAGCATGTTACGTACGTTGTTGGACATATCGTAGTAGACTATTCGCCAAAAGATTTGCAATGACCCGATCGACATGATAATGGGCTTTACGTATGCATCGGGATGTGAGATTATACATAATCACGACCCCATGTACTGATTATATATATATATATA